CGAAGAAAGTTATGAGATATCCAAAGACTCTTCATGTGCCTTTTCTATTATCTCTGACAGGTAATATATGACCTATTACTTTGTATTTTTGGATTTACATTTTACCAACACAAAATGGTTTAGTGAGATTTTGATCCTATGTTACATTCATCATGCAGCCCTATGTTTATACTGTTCAATCGAACAAAGTAATCCATTTGTTACTGTCAGCACGCAAACATTTGTCTTAGATAATTTTTGTGTGGGAAATAATCTGATTTTTTTTTTTTATCCAGCAGAAAGGCACTAAGAGTCTTCGCTACGGACTGCAAGAGTTTATATGAGGAAGATCTCGAGGAATTTGGTACCACCATATTCATGGATCTTCCGACCTCGATCGAAGACTATGTACACGTTCTCTCGATGATGGCACGCCATTCAATTACTGGTGCCTTGCATAGTTTCTTCTGTAAAGGAGATGCCGCTCTTGCTCAACCCTTAGTCGAGGTACTCATGCAGTGTGGTCAGATGTTGCCTGAGATCCTTCAAAATATATGATTATTCGGGTTAAAGATTTATTTTCCTCTATGAACAGATACTACCAACGGTTATCAATCTCATTCTCATTCTTTACTTGCTCTGTTTTTTATATCTTCGCTCATGTTAATAGTGGAACACATTAAGTAGTCACGCCCTTGTGACCAGTGATGGATGTGTAAGACTCTGTTATTCTGTTTTATACTTTTTTAGTGGATGCTCTTTATGTTGGCAAAACCAAATTACATAAAACTTGTGGTGCGGTTTTTCCCCCCAAACAACTGATTGATATATTCTCAAGAAGTTTGATATGACGTCAAATTGGCATGCAGTTTTTGTTAGAATTTCCCTTGCAATTCTCTTTCTGGATTACCAAATATGCTTGTTAGAAATAAGTTAAATTCCATTAGAACATCGTGTATGATTTTGCTTCTCTATATATGGTCACTACAGCTAACACTTGTAGTCACCGGCTGGATTGCATCAGCATACTCGAATAAATGATTACGAGTACAGTCAAATGTTATCGTGTGTTTGTGACCCATTCATTCCTTGTCGGCTCCGTGCTCGCAGCTACGAAGACGACTGGTGGCGTAGGGTTCATAAAGACCACCTATAGTGACAGCGTCATTATGTCGAACAGCATGTTCTCTGAAACTGCAGGTGATGGCTGATCCATGGCGAATAGTCTTTGTTTTCGTTTATAAGAAATAACCATGTGTGGTTGTTCACTCGTGAACAAGACACCGATGAATGGTCAAAAGCTCACGTGTTTTACCTAACCGTCGTCACAGTGTTGCATATTTGATTGGGTCATTTTTTCTATGGTCCGTTGAGGTAGGAAGAAAAATGATATTGATGATGTATCCTTTGATCGTTATCCATGTCATCACCATCAAGCATGTAGTCGATCGGAATCCATCAGAATAAGGAGATCAAAATTTCAGGGAGAAGAGAGAGAGATCCTCAGTATTTTATATGATATAATAAATATTCTCTCAGCGTCTAAAAATTATATCATTGTATACAAATTATATCATCTTGATTTAGTGAAACAATAATGGGTTTATGATAGGAATAAAATAATTAATCTTCCTTGGTGTCATATGCTAGATTAAAATATGTTTATTGTCATGCTTGAAGATATAGGTATGATTGTGTGGACATCATAATATTATTGTGAATTTTGATTGTTCAATATGTTCAAATAATAGTATTACGGATTTTGATTATCCAAGATGAAATTAACTTTGATAAGACGTCTTGATATTATTGAGGATTTATAAACAACCTTAGTCTTTGTCTAAGCATATTATAAATTTAATGTCAAGAAATATTTAAATTTCTTAAGAAGTCATGCAAAAATTATATCGTAAGTGTACTCTTATCTTATTCTTAAGTTTATATCAAGAGATGAATGAATTAGAATACATCTCTCTCATAAAATAATCTACGTAAGGTCTTTTATAATGAGCTTTAGTATCTGTTAAGAGTAAGTTAGAGTTGATTTGTGCGAGTAATTATGTGGAACCATCAAATATTGTTCGGACACAGACTCAATTGAACTATTACATGTTAGGATTAACATCATAATTTGTTGCCTTGATCATACGAGTTGCTTCGATGACATGTCGGGTTGATAAGATATTTGAGTTGGTATCGGTCATATAGTGCTAGAATATTTGACTATAAGTTAGATGTTTCTTATCATAATACTTTCTAATTTGGGCTATCAAGATTAATATAGAAGTATTGATATCTCTCAAGTATATTGATATGAGATAACAATTATTTTGTGAGTTGGTTTGTCGATGAAGATACGATGCAACTTAGTTATGAATAAAAAAAACATCAAAATCGTAACCTGAAATCTTTTACCCGAATCAAACCAATATAACTATGGGATTTTGTATCGTTCCCTCGAATAACCCAAAAGAGCACCATGCACAATCAATGAATGTAGTCAGGCACCATGCAGTCGTAATCATACATGAAAGCAACACACACACACACACACGCACAATCTCAACCACAAGTCACAATCCATTCCTGCATGTCATTCGATCACATTAATTACCTAGTAGCTACATCTGAACTCCATTGACTACGTTAGCACGCACGCGAATGGTCTGCTACCTTCAGCGCTAGCTATACACACACACACACACACACATATATATATATATATATATAAGTCATAAAAAGAAAAAGGCGACGTTGCCTCCTTTTTCTTCTCATGCAAAATGGAACCGACATCTCATCTACGTCGTCCGACGACGGATTGGGATCATCGAGGGAGAGCGACGACGGATCTCCAGGTTCTCCCTTCTCTTGCCCCTCTTCTTTCTTCTCCCTCGGCTCTCCCTCAGCTAATATCACCCAGTAGCGGGTGGCGACGGTCGAAATCGACCGTCACCGACTAATTTAGGGTGGTAACGGGGCGAAAGCAGCCCCAATTGGGCGATCCGTGTACCGGTTTACTGGAGGACCGATACGTATCGCTCGGTATGGGCGGTATTATTTGAAATTAAAATCCTTGGTTCAGCGTTGTATTTTTTATTTGAGACTAGATTTAAACCCGTCATTGATTGTTTCTTACTTGAAGGGATTACAACAATTTTGGTCTCAGCGTATAAGATCCTTTGTTTTCTCATTAGAATCAAGTATATATTCGTATTGTTTCACCCTCTTGATTCTTTGCCTTGGTCATGAGGATTTGGAAGTGAGGACCCAATTGCAGGTCACGAGAAAAATTCCTATACTTGGGTTTTTTACGAATTCATGACAACCCAACAATTGTTGGCTGATATGCATGTAAACAAAATGAGTTTCACATTGTCGATAAGGAGTTTCAGCAACTCTGTTACTGTTTCATAGAAAGGTTTAATACTCTTAAGCTCAATAGGAACTTACAACTATGCTTTATGATGTTTTGTTGTGAAAGGTACATAGCTAGCAGAAACTTATCATGTATCATAGGCTGGAAGGTAAACTCCTCTTAAGGAGGTGCAGATTTTTGGGTGTTGAGCTGCATAGAATTTGATATGCCTTGTCTTTGCGGCCTGATATGTCTCGATATAATTTTAGTTTGGATGTACTGCTTTGCATCCTTTTTTGGTATGTAAGATGTTGAAACACAGAAAAAATGGTTAGTACACATTTGATGACACTGCCAATAGGATGGTTGCAGAATGACAAGCAAGGATTACTATATGGGAACTGTTGAAGAATTTGATATATCAGCTGTCTCTTCCTGGGATTGATCAGGTTTTGCAGGTTGTTTTCATTTGTAACGGATGGGTGATTTAAAAGGAAAGAAAGGGAACAAAAAGTAAATGATGCAAAAGACTTCTAAGGGTAGATCATCATGCTCAATTATTGCATGTGCATATAAAGAATTGATAATTTTCTTATTTTAAAGTGCAAAAAGCTGTTCTGATAGATGATCAGTTAGAATAATATTGTCAACTTGTAAATACTCGTTCCTATGAAATGCTTTAGGTCGTGTCTGTTACAGAAACAGTTACCAAATAATGGTGAAGAACTCGGCATCACCAAAGAAATGGTTTTTCTAGTCTCTCAGAATGTTTGAATATATTATTATAAAGAATTTAGTTCAAACTAAGAGCACCTTTTCATGAATTTGCTTGGCAAGACTTAAAAAAGTATTCGGACATGTGGAGTTAGAAAAAGAAACTCCAGATAATTGTTACTTGAAAAACAAATCTAGAAATTTGAGTTTGATAGTCATAATCTTATGTTCATTATGGTTACCAAATTGCAATCCATTTTTCAACATTATTGAATAGTAAGTTAATGCCAAGAAACTCTTTAGTCAAGGATGCAAATTGACAGTTGATTTGGGAACAAAATTGTCATAAATGAATGATCCCAAATTGATTTGAATTAATTTGGTAGTTAGGAGATTGTCTTCGAAGAGCTTTATTTTCTTGTCACGAATATACATATTTTGATTATGTACTATTTTTACTAGTATTTTGCAATGATTCGATTTTTGTTTATTATGGGCATGGATGTTAATAATGAAATTGTCAGCATCTGTTCCGGTGGCCAGCCATATTTGCTATGGTTCTTCTGTTTTCCATGAAGTGATTATATTTGTAATTAGTTTTAGAATCTCGATTCTGTGTATTCATATTTTCTTTCTAACTTAAAGGTGGTATAAACTTATACAAAAGCCTTATGAGGAAGGTGATGGACGTGGATTAAAACTGGTGTGCAGTCCATTTTAAGGCCAATAATGTTAAGGACAAAATCGAGCACAGATGCAGAAGGCAGGCTAGTTCATATTGCTAAATCTATGAACCTTTCTTACGCAGTCTCAGTCTTATTACCTGTAATTCTTGTTGCAGGCCAATTCTTGTGCTTCCTCCTGCACAAGTTGAAGTCCTTTACTGTGAGCTGTCAGCAGCTGAGAAGGACTTCTATGAGGCTCTTTTTAAGAGATCTAAGGTGCAACTATCATTTCTTTTTTTGCGCTTTAAATGCTTCTTGGTAAAGTCACTATAATGCAAATATTGACATCACTTTTGAGGCTTTTGCCCAGGTAAAGTTTGATATGTTTGTGGAGCAAGGGCGGGTTCTTCACAATTATGCTTCAATTTTGGAGTTGCTTTTACGCCTTCGGCAGTGTTGCGACCATCCCTTCCTTGTCATGAGGTATAAAACTAAGTGCATTAGTCATATAATATCTTACCTATTTCATCAATTTGTCTGGTTTGCCTTGAGTACTTAGATTTGCTTCATGCTGGTGATTCCCAAGATTTATAGTTTGATACCATTCTTTCCCCTTGAATGCACCTTGCAACCATTTTAAACTCCTCATTCGACCCTTTCTAATTCATAAAATATATTTCACCATCCAAGGTTCAAACAGAAAACTTAGTTAAAGTTGCTAGAAGATAGTTGTATAATAATTAAATTATTACAGGTCCCAATTAGTTGGATTAGTAAGGATATAAACCTAATCCACTTTATAGAACCCTTAGTTATCGAATTCTGGGTTGATCTGGACTAGATCAAGGATCAAAATCCTATTAAAACTGATATATGCAGTCCCATATTATTGTTACATAATGCCTATATAAGCAATGCATGTGGAAGAGAGGAATATATAGACTGAGGGTGGACGAGTGGACCAGAATTATAACTTCATTTACCACACTAATGCGGTAGTGCAAGTCACCTGACAGATAAACAGTACATGAGGGAGAGTGGAATGTGTAGATGGAGGATAAAGAAGTGGATCGGAATCGTACCATCATTAATGAAACACTACAAGTCACCTGATGGATTAGTACCTGAGGCTATAAGCTAAGTTTTATGAGCAGAAGTAGCATTATTCACTTTACTCTGCTGCTTTCCTTCTCATTGTTTCTGCCAATTTTAATGGAAAGCCTTGTTCGGTACTTGCTTTTATGGATTTGCCGTATCTGGTGTATGTCAGGCATTTGCCACATTGGGTGTATATCACGTGTATTTTCCGTGCAAATTTGCTTTTATGGTTTGGAAATAAAGATCAATATCATATATTAGTGAATTTGATATATAACATCATTATTAGCTTGCTTTAAATTCAGCAATGGGTCAATCAACATCGCAATTGTACGCACATAAAATGCACCAGGATGTTCATTTCCTTGTTAAAGTAACAAAATAGTCAATGCTTGGTATCTGCATTAAACACTTCATCTTTTAATTGGTTTATTAATTTGATACTTTTATTAAGCATTTAAACTCTAGTTAGTGATGCAGATGTTTTTTGTTTGTTAACCATCATGGACTGTTGTGAATGCCAATATGTAATACACATCGAAATCTGAAATTTATAAATTTGTTACATATGCAAATAATGCTCGCTAAGAATGATAGTTGCATGCTTGATCTTTTCTCTGTATTCTATGAGGCAATTTATGTGCAGGTTTCATTAAGTATTTATGATATATGCATCAATCTTTACTAGAGAAGAAAGTCGGATCTTCTGTTTTATGCCATTACACATTTACCTGAAGTAACGATTGAAAGATTCCTAGTTCATATGATTGTTGGTGTTCGGGTACTTGTTCTATGTAGATGTATTTTTGTTTGTTCCTTATCTTGTATTTGTAATGTATTTTTATTTGTTCCTTTTATCGTGGTGGTCACCTTTGATTGTTTTTGTACTGATTGTATGATCATTCGAACTGCTTTCCATCTGTTCATTAGCCTTTGATTGGTTATCCTTTCCAAAGTTCTTTGTTACTTGTGTCATAAAAAGAGACTATATTGCTTCTGTGATGAAACTCAGTCGAGGTGATACACGAGTTCTCAGACCTCAACAAACTTGCAAAACATTTTCTGAAAGGTGGTAAAGATGCTGGTAATGGAGATACCTGTGCTGTCCCTTCTAAGGCATACATTAAAGAGGTTGTGGAAGAGCTGCGTAAAGGAGAGGAAGGAGAGTGTCCAATTTATATAGAAGCTTATGAAGATGCAGTATTGACACCATGTGCACACCGTTTATGCCAAGAGTGCCTCTTCGCTAGCTGGCGAAGTGCCTTGAGTGGTCTTTGTCCTGTTTGTAGGTATCTTCCGTAGCCCATGCTCTTGTATGTAGTAGTCAAAGGAACGCAGTTATAACTTTCTCCTCAGCAACCTAGCCCAATAATATTGTTTACTATCTGTGGTGAATGCAGGAAAATTATAAATAAGCCGGATCTTATTACTGCTCCCACCGACTGTCGTTTTCAAATTGATGTTGAGAAGAACTGGGTTGAATCTTCAAAGGTTTCTGTTCTCCTTCAGGAATTAGACAAACTTCGCCCTTTAGGTGCCAAAAGTATCATATTTTAGCCAATGGACTGGTTTTCTGGATCTTCTGGAAATACCGCTTTCTCGGTAATTTTCTTTACAATGAAGACTTTTTTCTGTCATTATTATTTTGGGAGATTTGGTAAAATATACTGAGAATTCAATGCATCTAGCTACCTGGTAGGGTCAGTAGATAATCATAAGTCTTGCTCAAAAGGCGATTGAAAGCTGAAAAACATTGCTTGCCAAAAAAGTCTCACTTTCTGATCTGTGGGCTAATATTTCTGCTTGAACTCTTCCCTTTATATAATTTATCTCCAATATCGTGCCATTTGTATGTTTATTGCTTGATACTGACATCATCAGTATGCCATGACATATCTTGCTGTGGTAGATTATGCTAACCCGTGTCATGGTGAGCGGCAGATGACACTATATTCTTATGTCCTGTTCTATGCCTTGTAGCTATGATTTAGATACCAAAATGGATTGACCATGCTGACCAATATGTCATACCAAAGATACCGATATTTTTCTGAATGAATAATTTTATCATTATTATTATTCCAGGGGCGTACTCTGGTATATTTTACCTTACCATGGTACTGCACCTGTTGGAAATGGATTGTTTTGAATGGGTAGGTACTTAATAAATGGGCTACAGTGGTACAGTAAGATACCTTAATTCCTGCTTTGCTTTATTTGGACCAGAAGTTTGATCTTGAAATTTTCACTTTTGTTCCAGACGATTGCATGATCGTCCTTACCTGGTTCAGGTCCTCCTTTGGTTGCAATGTTCACCCTTTATTATCCACTTTCCCGCCTCCACTTGATGAAAAAAGCTAAAGCTAGGGTCCAAAGTTTGTCAATCGATAGAGGTCTCATTTTTTAAGTGTTTCTAGAATGTCAGGTAAGATGGGAATCTTGGATCACCTTCTTTACATCATGTCATGGATGCTTAACTAATTTCTATTGAAGTTCATCATTTTCCAGATAAATATGCTTTATATAGTGTTTTGTGTTTTTTCTGAAGTTGACCACTGGAAGAATATTTGGCAAATCAATTTATTCCAAGTAATCAATTGAGTTAATTCATCCAGTAGGCGCTTAATAACCACTTTTATTGTCAACTTATAGCTGGCTACTTGGATAAATTCCGAAATACAGTTGTCTTGATTGTCGTTCTGATCCTCTGACAGAGGCATTACGTCTTGCAAGTTCTTCGAACATATTGAAGAATTATGGTTTTTTGTATAGGTAACATATATGCAAGTCAAGACGTGGTTGGCATTTGTGGCAAACAATTTTG